CATTCACTCTTCTTATCACAACTTCATCTGCTGCAGTGTGACTGAAAGAGGGAAGTTCTCAGACAAAGGCCTGAGGGAATGTCCAACAGGACTCTTCCCTGGCTGACCAAACCCAAATCTGAGGCTGACTCCAATGCCACCCTAAAAGATGGCCAGACACCATCAGAGCTGCCCAAATATTGCCTGATCAAGATTCAGTGTGTCTTAGACTGACACTGCCGTTATGTCCCAACTCTGACACCTGGAGGCCTGGGGACCTTCTTCAGCTGGATGTTACCTGACAGCAAGTAGAAGTCTTCGGATTTGGAAGTTTTAAGCTGTAATTGCATTAAGCAGACACATTCTGCAGAAGTAGAACAAAAAACAGCATCTCAGTGGGCTAAGTGTAGGTCCAGCCTCTGCTGCAGCCATGGTATGTGCAGTTTTCAGCTTGAGCTTCTCAGCTATAAAACAGTGAAATACACACTGTGCACAGATTGCAAATGCCACCTAAGCAATGAGTGAAGGTTGACAGAAGTTACTAGTTACTAGTGCTTTCTTCTTCCCTTTTGCCCTACTAAAGCCTACAGCAACCACTAAAGCTCTGGTGGTATTTGCCAGGCATTTGGAAATTCACAGGAGTTCATCATTGCCACTCCATCCATCTGCTCCATGCTCTGGAAAGGAGATTTTGGGGGATTTCAGGTGCTGACTTGACCATTGTACACAGCACAGCTCAGTCCAGGTCAGTCACAAAGGGTCTGGACCCCCTTCCATGCCTTCTTGCCCCTTCCAGTGCCAGCTGTGCAGCTCAGGCTCCTGCCCAGTCCAGTCTGGTGAATTGGACCCTGCTAAGGGTTTACTTATGGAAGCCTGTCACGGTGTTTGAAACCAAGCCAGGCAGGAGCCTTCTGCTTCACCCGACTGCATCTTAGTGCATTAATAAAGAGCAAACATTGCAATGTGCTTTGCATTTTTACTTACAATCCAGCACTGCATTGTCTGGAGAGAAAAACAATATGGCATAGCCCCGTGCTGCCTGGGGAGGGGAGAGTTCACTCGCACGCGCTACGGCACTGCGTTCGTCAGCCCTCAGACAGCCCAGCACCGCCCTGGCTGCACAGAAAATCTGCTGATGTGACAGTGCAGCACCAACACCCCCAGCCTGGCAGCAGTGGGGAAACCTGGTTTGCCTGGACTGCTTGATCCAGCAGCGTTTGAACAGAGCGGTGCACAGCTGTGGGCAAGTGCAAGCACTCTGCACCAAAGGATCCAGGCGTAGGACCAGGACACAGGATGGTCCGTTGTTCTTTATTCCCAAGATAATGTACTAGTTCTTATACACAGCATGAACCAAAGATCAGAAAAGCAATCTGTGCAAATCCCCCAGGTCCCTGCTATCTAGTCAGGGAAGCTGGGCTTTATCGTCACTGCAAAGATACAGCTTTTCAGCAGTTTCTGTCTTGGGTATTCCTCCTTAGCTGCAAACTCACTGACAATCATTCCCTCAGGCCTTGCCCAGGTACCTGGTCAGCTCACCTGCTTTTATCTGAGATACCTGAGCAGCCAGCCCCTTGCAAAGAGCAGTGTCTCCATAGGGCACACCAACTGCCTGCCTTTGATGAGCCTGTCAGAAAGCCATGGTGCCAACTACCTGTGCCTCTGCAATCGGCACCAACCTTGTACAGTCCATTATTCTTGCTCAGCCCCTACCAGTTCACAACCATCTTCAGAGCCCAGATATCAGACCCATGGGCACTTGCAACACAGAAATTTTCCAGCAGGTTAAGTAGTCTGACAGAGGCTGAACTTCTCCCCCTCCTCTTGGAGGCTTTTGCTGTTTCTCAGAGGCTTAGTAAGGTCTCCAGAAAAGGAGCAGAAAGAGGGAGTTGTCTTAGAAGGTACAAGCAGTTGTCATGGCTAGAAACTACTTGCAGCCATTCTCCCCAGAGTTAAGCATCCCAAAAACGCTACTGAATGCAGAGCACAGTGTTTCCGAGCAGCTGCTCCTTTCTAGAGCAAGCTCAGGTAGAGGCTAGCCCAAAGCCAGCTGAAGGCTCTCCAAAGGAAAACTGATGTGCTGCATCTGGCACAACCTGCACTCAGGCTAGGACCTACAACTGAAGCAACTGAAGCAAAATTGAAACAATCAGAAGTATTAAACCCCTTCTGTGTAAACTATACAAACTATAAAAAAACTCTACTGCAGCCTCCTAAGGCTAAAATACCCTGCCAGCTGTTCTACATAGCCCGTGTCTCTGGAACACTCCTGCACTTCCCAGTGACATGAAATGCTCCTGATGAACTTCCCAATGTTTTCATTGCCTCTTCTTGGCCAAGGCAAGCCATGCCTTTTTGGCAGGAGCACCCCAGGCTCAGTTAGTCATATCTTCGTCACCTCTTGGCTAGACTACAACTACATAATACACCTGGGCATGAAGCCCACAGTGCTTGGCAAATGCCAAATAGAAGAGTAGACTGCAGTGGGAGCCCTGGCTGCCACAAGTGCATCAAACCTTACCTCTGCTCCCTAGATCACCTTCTGGCATGAAAGACAAGCCAAATTCAAGCCCGAGTCCCAATCTTTAAGGCATTTGATGGCATGGACCCAGCATGGCTGAAAGATCAGTTGAGACACAAAGATGGAAACCGTGATCAACAATCAACAACTCCGCCACTCTCCAAGAGCAGTGGACCCATCCAGCATGAGGACTGTGTTTTCCTGTGGCAGAGACAGGGTTTTCTCTGAGAACAAACTCTTCCCAGCTGGTGAAAAATGAAGGATGTCTAAGATGCTGAGTAATTCCCTCCTTTTGCGTATCCCATCTCTCTGCCAAGACATGGATCAAGTTCACTCTGGGTTTAGTTTGCTTTTTCTTTTCTTTTTCTTTTTTATTTTATATAAAACAGTAACATCTGTGTCCTGAACCCAGGTGAAGTTCTTGGTCTCTTCCTCAGCAATGAATTCTCCAGCTGGCAAGAGAAGATGCGCTACAGATAAGAGGTCTTGACACTAACCAGCAAGATCTACATTTCAATGACAAGCGCTAGAGCCCTCCCTCCCAAAGAGACCCTTCAGGGGTCAGTCCAGCAGTTGCATAGAAGATGCCTTAGTGACAGACTCCTACTGCAGGTCCCTGGATGGTCTAATCCAGCAGTCTTCACGCTGTGCTCCACAGGGAACAAACTTGTGACATAGTACCCAAGGGAAATAGCTAAAAATACATTTGTTTCATTATTACTTGTGAGTGTAAGCACTAACTTATTTGCTGCAGGCTACTGATGGTGAAAGGTTTGGAGGGAGAGGGAGGCAATTCAAAATAAGGTACCTTCATTGCTGCAGACCTTGCACAGGGTTTTCAGCTTCCCGGTGGCATGTGGTGATAGAGACAGACTGCCCCGTGGAAAGTGCTAGTGCTGTTACACTGTGTCTGCTTCTCTTGATGGAGACAAGCCTTTGCTGGGATGGATTAAAATCTGGGCTGGAAAAAGATGTGGTCTAGCTTGCTGTCATTTTTGGCAGACAAAAGAGCAGTAAGGCAAACACAAGCCCCAGATTACTACAATTAAAAAACCACGGTAATTTCTCATAAGTGTGTCAACATTTTGATTCCTTTTAAACTCTCTGTGTTTCTACTGAATTAACATATTTGTGCATGTTTTTGAACTGTAATCCATAATGCCTGTGTCTACCTAACCTCTCTTTACTTGTTGTGCTGCTTTGTGTGTATTTGTCTTCCCATGCATATCTATATGCCATGTTACGCATTTAGCAGGCTCCATAAATATGGCTGGTAAATCATCCAGGGTTAAAATTCACTTCTATTCTCACAACATTATTTCCTAATCTTTAAAATATGTCAGTGGAAGATCTTGATGGTGACCTTTGGCTTCATAAATCGGAGAGCAGGTTGACATGGGAATGACCTCAAGAAAATCAGACTGTAGAATCATGCATCCAGCTCCCTAAGAGCCTGGCAGGGATAAACCCTGGGCTCAGCATCCAGGGCAGGACGTAAAGACTAACCCCGGCTTCTACAAACTTTTCCCTGTAAACAGTGGGAGCAGTGTAAGCATGTTTAGAGTGAAATGTGTGTGCAAACACATTCAAGGCTTGCTGTAGCGGGAACAAGCACTTGGAGACATTCAGGGAGGGATCGCACCCTGTCCTCCTGCACCGGGATTTCGCCATGAACTTCAGTGGGAGCCCGGCTGGAGTCTAAGCTACAAGCAACGTTTGGGGTGCAAATCAACAAGCAACATTGGCGGGAAGGAGGGCGGTGTTCCCCGCACGGCCGACAGCCGCCGTGTCCGGTAGGAGCGGCACAGTATGGGCAGGGAAGCGCTTCTCGGTACCACCGAGAGCCGCAACAGTGCGTCCGGTAACTGGCCTATGATTAAGCCTCCCCTGCAACTGCTGCTCCATCGTGCAGGGGAACGCTTCCAGCAGCCGACTGCGGACTTGGTTTCCCCCAGAAACCTCTGGCTGGCTGGTGGCTCTAACTGCAAAGCCCGAACAGGCTCGCCGCGCCGGTACTGAGCGGAGCGGATGCTCAGCACAGGGTACCGGTGGCCGAGCACTGAAGGAGGCACGCGGTACCTGCAGCGACAGCAGCAGTGTATCAGTGCACACGCACATCTGTACCCTGCCCGAACAGCCCGGGTGGCAGCGCCGCAGCCCCGCGCGCGGGACCTGCCCCCGCACCCGCCCCGCCGCTCACCCTGCCCCGCTCGCCGGGACGGGGCGGGGCCAGTGCGGGGAGGGCGGGGCCTACCGCCCGCCTCGGCCAGTTCGAGAGCCGGGCTGCGCCCGTATGCAAATGAGGCACGGGACGATTGGTCGGCGCGGGCCGGGGGCGGGGCCGGGGCGGGCGGCGCTGGACGGGGCGGGCGGCGGCGGGCGCGCAGCTGGAATGGGGCGGGCGGGAGCGGGGCGCCCGGTGCAGCTGGCGGGGGGCGCCGGCCGCCCGCCATAAAGTGAATGGCCAGGGTGAATGGGAGGCAGTCGGCCGGCGCCCTCCGCCTCCGCCCTCCCCGTGAGCAGCGGGCCGGCAGCGAGGCGCAGAGTGGCCGGGCAGCCGGGAGGATTTACTTTCTGACAGCGGCAGAGCAGCCCGGGCCGCGGGGCGGGGGTCAGCTTCGCCGCTCTCTCAGGATTAAGACCGCCCAGCCGAGCACTCATCTGGAGCCGCTGTAAGTGCCTTTCCGTCCTCAGCCTTCCGGGCGGGCTTCTCCCCTTCTTTCTCCGTGAGCCCCTCCATGCTAGCCCGGCCGGCCGTAACCTTTTCGACGCTGGCACAGGGTAAGAGCATCCCCAGCGGGGCGGCTCGGCGTTCCCTGCCCGGCAGCACCGGGGCAGCCCCGCTCCCACGCGGGACCCGCCTTCCGTCGCCTCCCCGGGGGGCAAGGGGCGGCAGCCAGGTGCAAGCGGGCGGATCGTGCCCTGCCTTGCCGTCCAGAAGGGGTCCCGGGGCTGTGCGCGGTGCAACTGTCCCCCGTCGCTGCGGGGAGCGCTGCCTGCCCGACAGGGCGCGGCGATTCCACTGCTCTGTCCTTGTAGGGCCCGGCGGCCCCCCACTCGCCGCCGCCGGGTTGCTGCAGCCCCGGCCGTCCCCTCGAGGCCGTCGCAGGCCCCTTCCCAACAAGCGCAGCCGGAATCTCTTGCCGTTACTAAACTTAGTCATTTTCCACTCGGGCGAGCGGGGCAGGGGCTGTTTAAATTAGCCGGGGCTCGCTGTAAATAACGGCGCTGCGGGCTGCGGCTCAGCTGTCTTCAGGGTCCAGGAGAGAAGGGCGCGGGGAGCAGAGGCGGGGAGACGTCGCCGGGGAAAAGGAAGGCAGCCCGACGGCTTTTGGACAGTTGGATAAATGATATTTATGTAATGGGCTACCTCCTGTTTACAGCAGAGCCGACCTCCCTGTAGCGCCGGGAAAAGGCGAGCCGGTCCCCGCGGACGGAGCGAACCTGCCCCGGGACGCCGCTGGCTGCGGCGCGCCGGCGGAGGGTGCCGGGGATCCGACCGGGAATAACAGACCTGGTCGGGCCGCGGGGGCGGGAGCGCTGACCCCCGCGGCGGTTCTGCCGGGGACATCGAGCCGCCCTGGAAGAGCGCGGCCGCCCGGCGCTGGGAGTCTGCGGGCAGAACCGGCGGTCGGACCTCTGGGCGTTTGCACGGGCTCTCCCGCCTCCCCGGCGCCGGGGACACGGTGCAAACTGGCGTCCCTCCGCCCCGCTGTTGCTTGCGAAGCCCGGCCAGCTGCAGCGGGCGCCCGACGGAGACCGATACCGTCCGCTCCCCCGGCTATTCCCCGCTCAACGAGTGCGGCTCCGGGAGAAGGGTCAGCTAGCCAGCTCGGCACCCCCTTGTCCTTTCCCCCGACCTCCTCCTCAGAGCGGGAGTAAGGAACGGGTTCGTCCCGCGGCCTCAGCTCTGGCGGGGGAGGGCGGCCGAGGCGGGGGCCGATGCCCGCGCGTCGCCGCAGCTGCTGGAGCGGGCTCGGCGTGGGGGGGCGGCGGGCCTGGTGCCGCCGAGCGGGACACACCTGTCGGCCCCTCACCCGGCGCCCCCGCGGCTGGACAGCTGAGGGGACGAGCGGGGAGGGGGCTGGATTCCCCCCTGGCAGCGCCAGGGCCTTGCGGAGGCTCTGGAGGGAGTTCCCGCAGCCCCTCCGTCCCTGCTGGGGTTGGGCAGCTCGAGGCAGCGGTCCCCCGACCGCTCTGCGCCCCTTTCCCGCCCGGCCCGGGGGGTTACCGGCTGCAGAGCTCGGCAACGCACGGGCGGCCACAGAGGAACACGCTGCTGCAGGACGCCGGTGCCCGGCAGAGTTCGGGGGGGTGAGCACCCGGCCTCCGCACCCGGCTGATGCTTCGAGCTGGCGGCGCAGGAATCAAAACTAGTCTGTCTGTCATCTACCTCCCCGTTCCTTCACCTGAGAGGGAGGCAGCTTCCCGACCGACGGGCCCACGATCTGTCCACTTTCTAAGTGGAGTCTAGGGCTGAAGGCAAAGAGAGGAATTTGTCGTCCCCCAGACAAGCTTGTGGGTCTTCCACCCATGGCCTGTGACCTGGAGGATGCCAGGGATGAAATGGCTCTATCCCCTCTACAATTTCGGGAGATGCTAAAAGCAACTGCTCAGAAAGGTGTCTTTCAGGAGAGTCACCTCTGTTCCTGTCCCACCTTACAAAGACAGAGAAAGGATCACCTTTTTGGCGATGGGATCAGGGTCTCCCTGGCTCCCGGCACCACCTCCCAAGCCCCTCAGTCTGTCGGTGAGCTGAAGGGATGAGTGTTTGTGCAGGCTTTGATGGTGCCTTGCTGAGAGGGACAAAGGAGCCTGCGGGCTCCTGAGGGACTGTCAAAGCATGGTAGCTGCTTTCAGTCTCTGTAAATGTCTGCTGAAGTGGAGTAGGGTTTGATGATGATGATTATTATTATTATTATTATTATTATTATTTTACGTTAACAAATTGTTGCGCCATGCCCAGTACTCCTTACGAGGAACCCTCACAAGGGAGATGTCTTTCCTTGACAGCCTGGCGAGGAGTCTGGGTGAGGGTGGTGGTTTTCCTGCTATTACTGTAATTACTGAGTTTGCCTGACCTGCAGCCCAGGTTCTCCCCATGAAAGCCCACCTATGTTCCTGAGTTGTCTCCTGTCCAAGACACTAGTTTAAGAAGCAATATCAATCTCTGTCAGAGAAACTGTTGCAAGCCTCACTTAATATCTATTGCATTTCTATAAGGGCTTAATTCAGGCAATTAATAGATGTGCAAATTGTGATTGGGTTGCAAAAGCATTGGTTAATGTACCCTACAGAGAGGTGGCAAAAAAGAATGGCATCTTCCCTCTGTCAGATGCTACCCAAAACCTTGAGATTGAGAGGTAAGGCTGACTTTGGAGACTGCCAAAAAGAAAAAGCCAGAAACCTGATCTAGGAGACCGCTCCGAAAGGAAGATGAGATGAGCTGGGGACATGAGGTCTGTCTCGTGACCTGGCACATGTGCCCTGGCTTTGGGGACAGGGGAGGTACCTGGGCTGGGAACGAAGTCCCAGATGGGGAGAACTGCTGGTTTCATGCTATGTGCCCTGCATCAGGAAGGCAGCGGGATGAGACTATGGGGCTATGAAGGGAGGAGGGTCAGAAACAGGAGGCTGTGGCATCGCTGAACAGGCTTATCTATTTCTCTGGCTGTTTAAAAATGGGAGATTGCTATTTACTTACGGCCTGATGGCAGAGGGGGCAAAGCGCTCTCTCTCTTGCTGTGGGCCATCGGGGCTGAAGGCATTAGGCTGTGCCCAGGCCGGGCATTTGCTGTTGGCTGGGGAACAGCCTCCACCAGCTGGTGTTGAAGTTAGCACTGAGGCTGTAGGAAGAACCCTCTCTTGTCAACACCCAGCTGAAATGGGCTGGGGTTTCAGACAGCTGGAGAAAGAAGATTTCTGAGGCCAGTCCGCCACACTTCCCTTCCTCCCCTTTGTGTGCTGCTCCCCCTTGCCAGCACCCCTGCCCTCCTCCCACCTCACCTCTGAATATTAATGCCTCTGGCAGATTGGATAATAATGTGACTGGGAATTGAATGAAGCTGGTTATTAGCTCTGGGCTTCCTTGGGGCATTTAAGGGAGTCCACAGGCTGATCTTGGAAGCTTGGCAGCACAAGGGACCAAGGCCAGACTCAGCACAGTGGGGGTTGCTTCTGTGGGAAAGGTTTTGCTTGAAATCCTCATCTCCCTCTCACCCCAGAGGAGGACAGGTACTGCAGCCTAGCCAGAGCTACAAATTCCTGTGGGATGGTTAGCAGTGGATCTGTTGGTTTTCAGCAAAAATTAACTATTAAAAGTTGTTTTCAGGAAGGAACTAGGAGATCTATCTAGGCAGAAGCTGAGAAACATTTCTATTATGAGGCTTTGAAAAGAGGTGGAGAGTGTCAGAGTATTACCAAGCAGATTCAGGAAGGGGGCAATCCTCTGCATATGAACAGGAAATTTCCTGTTGATTGGCAGGGTACAGGTTCAAGCTCATAGCACTTGCTTCTGAAGACCTTCACCGTATGATCTCTCTTCTCAGGAGCCTCCTAGCCTTTCCATAGGTGGATCTCTGGATGCTGTAGCATGAAGGGAAATATCTCTGTTGAGCAGAGGAGAAACTGAGCTCTGGCAAAATTAGTTGATCTGCCCTAGAAATACAGTCTCTGTTCCCAGACCCTCAATCTGATGCTCTTTGCTATCTCCTAAACCGCAACTCCACCAGAAAATAAACATTTACACACTGTTGAATAGTGCAAAAGAAGAGGGAAACCAGAGCCGGGTTTGCAAGAAACTGCTATTAATTTTGTCCATCTCACTTTTCAACTGTTCAAAATGTTCAGAGATTCATTAATAGGGCTGTAGCAGCTACTAGGGATCTCAGCTGATCCCCAGGTTGGGTAAGCTGGGTCCTGCCTGAACTAAATTAACCCCTCAAAATCACCATAAGAACTACTGTGATTAGGACACCAGTTTGTAAACCCCTATCAAACAAGTTCCACAATCCCAAATCTGAGAACCTAAGAAACTCTGGCGGGAGGATATAGTACATATGCCACTCTAGATCTCATCGTCCTGGTTCTACAGGCTACTCTTTTTAAATAACTACATTTATTTGCTACTGGGGGAGCTTCAATTGTGTGGCATGGGCTGGAAGGCTCAGCACCTGCAAAAACTGAAAAAGTACAAAAATAGAATAAAATTAACGACTGGAGAGTTTGTAGTTACTTTCACCTCTCTCCCTCTTCATTCCTTCTTGCCATCAACCTCATCTAAAGCCGAAGCATCCTTCCCACCACCCATTGTCTCTTCTCCCCTTCCAGTGCTGCCATTTATGCAAGTCTAATTTTCTTTAGAAAAGCTGATTATAAATGACCATTGTGAAGCCTGAGGATTTAACTGTAAATCAAGTTGACCTGTCTGCATGTGGACATTTTTATTTACTCATTTTTTTGAAAAGCAAATAAACATAGAATCCCTCCCACATAAAGCAGCTCCCCACTTAGATTTGAACACACTTTAAAAGAAATCTCTTTTGTTTTAGCCATTTTTATTTCCTGTTTGTTTCTGAGCTTAGACTTGACAATGAAAACCACATGAAATTCCCTTTTTGTTCCATCAGATTTATTTTTGGTGCCACAATATCCCAACTTCCAGTTCTACAAG